TCTAACTGAGTAAGGGCAGCAACATTTATAAAAAAGTTACCAAGCCACTTAGCAATTAGCAGTTCTGGAATCTTACCTGAGTTGCCTCAAAGAGTCCACACATTTAGCAATCAAACTAAAGAGAAAGTCAGAAAGCAATGTTATATAAACTAATAAATTATAAAAGTATTACAGCAATTGTTGGGAGTGTTCCAACATAACTTAGTGAAGAACCAGCAGCTCCAGTGGACAATTCTGCACCAAAAGGAAAAAAAAAAAAAAAAAAAAAAAAAAAGAGTTTAGAAAAGGTAACAATTAACAATTTATAAATTTGAAACCTAGAAAGTTAGAAAATAAAAAGAGTACCCTTCTCTAATCTTTCAACATCATCCAAGTTTTCCTCAACAGAGATTGGATGATTGGGTGCCCTCAACCAATCTTGTGCACATACTAGGGCTTCAACAATTTTAGGAGTTAAGGAACTCCTAAAGGCATCTAATACCCTACCACTAGTACTGAATGCACTCTCAGAGGCAACAGTTGAAATGGGAACAGCCAGCACATCCCTTGCCATTCTAGAGAGTATAGGAAATCTATCACTGTTAACCTTCCACCATCTTAGGACATCAAAGTCCACATTTTCTTCATCTTCCACTAATTTTTCACTTAGATAAATCTGGAGTTCAGTTTCTTTACTGCTTCCACCAGTCTCCATTATCTCTTTTTTAAGCTGGCTTTTCATTCTAGCCTGAGGTTTTCCAACTGAAGTTTGAGAATGGACAGGTTCAGATTGCGTAGATTGCACAGTAGGGGATGCAGACTGCACATGGTAGGTGGCTGTGTAATCATTAAACAGCAGAACCATAGAAGATTGAACATTTTCAAAGCATGATTTTCCTTTATCATCACCATATAACTGGGCAAATTGGGCAGGCATGTACTCAATCTTATCCCTAGGATCCAAAATATTGGCATAGAATATCAAAAAGTTCATTTTTTCAGGATCTCCCCAATATTTTTCAAATTTTTGTTTCATATGAGACCCCATTTCCTAAAAAAAACAGACATAACATAGAAAAAATTAAATCAAAGTCGAAAACAATTCACCAGCATGCAACCTAAGTCAGAAAATCTGGTAAATGTCTCTAGAAATGGTCCACCTAGAAGGGATTTGAAACCTAGGACAAGCAACTAAAATGAATTTCCTAAAGCCATTTCCCTCAACAATCCTAAAGGGAAGTTCATCAACAATGATCATCTCACATAATGCCCTCCTAATAGCCTCTTGGTTGAAAGCCCAAATCCCCAAAACCCCCTCAGAAGCTTCTGTTCCAGAGGTATTAAAGGTGAGAAGAGACTGCCTTGTATCCTTTCAATGAGGATTTTTTAGGCAGGCCACCATATGGTTTTTCAATGAGGAAGTGTCATGCTTTTTACTTTCACATTTATAAATTTTTGCACAATAAAGGCATTTGCTCTTAACTACTGGTCCCTCAGTTTCACCTTCAGCAGGTGGACCACGGATCTTTTCAAAATGATCACATACTATATTACTATGGATCTAGACTCCACCTCTTTCCTCTTCTTTGTAGGAACAACAGGAGGAGAAGGCATAGGATTTGTCTGAGGATTTCTCTCAGTACCTGGAGCTTCTACTCCATGCTCCTCATCAATTGAGGTTGGAGGGTGTCCAGATGCACTGATATTTTCCATCTATAAAGATGGGCATCAGTATCCAAATAAAGTAGACAACCAAACGGATTTGAGATTACAAATCATAAATAGGTAACATATTTACATATTACAACATATTTTAGATTAAAGCTTCCACCATACAATCATACATAGAAGTATAGAACATAGTCAACATAGTCAAGCAGATTACATATTACACTTCCACCATTAAATCCATAATCAGATTTGCATTTTTCAAATCATCATCTAAATGGAATTGCCCAAACCTTACTGCCTTAAGACTCAAGAGGTTTAGGGCTCTCAACTGCTCATACAATCATGAATCAACACAAATACACAATACAATTCAATCTCATAATTCATAAAATCCATAATCACATTAATCAAATTTAGGCTTCCACCACTACAATATGTAACATAATTACATATATACAGTCTGTACAAAGTTAAGGGTCCGATTACCATAAACATGAAACCATATATCATGAATTTGACAAATTCATCATTTATATGGAAAGCCCCAAAAATTAGGGCTTAGTGAGCCAGTGAGTCACTGAGACACTGACTCACGTATAAATTAGGGCTCACAAACTCACAATTTCATCACAAATCGCAGAATAATGCAAATAATCAGAATATACAGAAACCCCACAAACTATCCAAGTATGAAGTATCAATCATAAATTGTAACCCTAAAAAAACAGTATTAAAAACATGTTTTCAATTTTCGATTACTTGATTTCTCCAATATTTTCCCGGAGAACTAGGTCTTCAACTCCACTCTTCAAGCAATCAACACAGCACACAGGGACACTGGACGTCAGGACACAGGGGCTTCCACCAACGCTTCGCTGGCTTGAGAGTTGAGGCTTCCACCACGGTCCACTGCTCAAGAGAGTAGGGCTGTGCAGAACGAGTGAACTACAGAACCCTCGAAGGAGTCGATTAGTCGAACCCTCTGAGAGACTAACTGACTAAGACTCTGAGAAGATAAGAGATGAAGAGTGTCTAAGTCTCTGAGACTCTGAGACTCTGAGAGTCTGAGTCTCAGAGAGGGTGAGACTTGAGAGAGTGAGAGATTGAGAGAGAACTGAGAAGTAGAAGCTGCGCAGCTGAAATGGTGAGTAATGAAACCCTAGCTCCGTATAACACACACACACACACACACACACACACACACACACACACACACACACACACACACACACACACACACACACACACACACACACACACACACACACACACACACACACACACACACCACATATATATATATATATATATATATATATATATATATATATATATATATATATATATATATATAATGCCCACACGACATCGTATTATGCATATACATATACTCTATATATATAGTTTCGGGTTGTCGGACGGATCGGGTTGCTTTTAAGCAAACCCTAACCGATTATATATTTAATCGGAAATTCGAAATAAGGGTGTCGGGTTGCATGTCGGGTTCGGTTATCCACTCCGAGAGCTAAGGCGGGGCGCGGGTCAGATGGGTTTTTCGGGTTGGACGGGTTGTGCACAGCCCTATTAAGAACTCCTTATTGTTCTTAGTCTTGGTTTCGATATGGAAGCCATTTGATCGAATGTCCCTGAAACTCAGCAAGGTTCGTTTAGATTGGGATACAATAAAACATTTTCAATTAGTAGCTATGTACCTTAGGGAGGATGATGGATGCTTTTCTGGAGCCCACTATTTGTACCTCCTCATTAGTAATGGTAGTAATATTACTACTTGATTAATTCAAGGTACGAAAAAATCTTATATACGTAAGGATAGTATGTGTGGTTGCACTATCCACCAAACACAATGTTGGTTCATGCTCCATTTTATGGACAACGATAGATTTCACAATGTTGTAAGATCTGAGAGGTAAAAACAAAAATAATCTAAAAACATAATAAGTCAATCAAAGTTATATTCCTCATTTATGTCCATGTTTTTAATACTAATCATTTTGTACATTGTGTTTTTAGAGTTGTACTATATAATTTTTTGGACAAAAATACCTCTACCGTTATAACTTCCGTTATCTTTTCCATTATTGTTACCATGCACATGCATCCACCATATATTTTCTTATATTCTTTAATGATAATAATATTTGTAGTCATTATATATTGGATTATTATAATAAGTAAATTTGATTTCTTATAGATTTTAATTAGTAGGAATTTATTAGTTATTTTAAAAAATATAAATATTGGGCACATGTTTTTGCACATCGTGCATAGAAAAGACTAGTAATAATAATAATAATCATCATTATATCAAAGAAGTGATCACGAGGAGTAGCTCCTTTCGAAAAATAAAATCCTTCTAGGAAGTAAAACTCGAGAAGTAAAGAAATTCCTTTAGGGAAGTAGGGTGCCTTCGGAAGGTAACCAACTGGAAGGTGCCCTCGGAAGGTAACTTACTTTAACTTCGGAAGGTTACTAACTTTTACCTTCCGATCAAAAGGTTGAACGATCACGTCTTCTATCACCAAACGAGAATTTACTGAACTCGCACTTGACGGAAGCAACTAGTTGACTTGGGCTCTAGACATCGAAATTCATCTCATGTCTAAAAACTGAATTAAACCATTTTTGTCAAATGTCAAGTCATAATGTACTAACGCCTAGAACGCGCAGACTCTAATTGTTTTACGTCACCACTTGAACCACGACATGAAAATAAATACTTGACTGAAAAGGACCCTTTTTCCATTATGGAAGTCCTTGAATGACCGTTTTGATCCACAGTAATTGATTTTCCTTCCCCAAGTCCAATTTAACTAGCTTAATCTTAGGTTTCAAGACTATAAGTTAGTGATTGATTACAATTCGGCGCTTCATAAAATAGTCTAGCGACTAAATCTCTGCAAACAAGAAATTTTTTAAAAAAAATTAATTAAAGGAGAATACTACATGTACTCCAAGTTTCTACTCCCAATTTTTACTCTCACACACAAAATCTTGATGTAGATACTTGTATTGGGACCCACATTAAAAAAAAAAAAAAAAAAAAAAAAAAAGAGTAGCCTATCAGTACCCGCATCATCAAAAAGTAAAATTTAAAGAATATAATTTGAGAATCTATGTAGTAAAACTCTTAATTAAAAAGACCCACTTACTTTTCATGCCACCTTGTACCTCAATTTTACTTTAAACTAAATACATGAATCTAAAATTCTTAATAATGTAACATTCACATAAATCAATCTTCTCAAATGTAACCAAACGCCGCCTACAAATTTGAATCAAATGGATAAACTTATAAATAAATAAATAAATAAAATTAAAATTCAAAACAAAACCTAATTTGGACTTCCACTACTTCTCATCGGACTTCACTAGACTGCCGAGGCGCCGACTGTAGACGACCGTCTTCCGTCGACGATTGACAGCGGCAGGCGGCAAAGGAATGCAATTCTGCTGGCTGCTGCAATCTGCGAATTCTTCGTTTTGGCTTTGATTATTGCGGTAAATCCATCACTGTTCTACATGAATACATTATTGATGATTCTAAGTTTTTTTTTAAAAAAAATTTTTTATAATGATATATAATACGGAGTATTATCTATTTTGTATTTCCCACTTTAGCTAGAAATTTCAGATTTTTAAAACTCTTTTTTTGTTCGCTTTTTGCCTTTTCGCTAGCTTGAAGAATTGAAGAACTGTACTGAGTACCTGGATAATGGATTTTTGCATTTATGTATTCTCTTTGACTATAAATTGCATATTGGTTAGTTTTGATAATTTGATTGAAGCCACCATGGAGAGAACTGAGAAGAAGTATTATATGCTATAGTGTTATGCCATCATTTTTATATGGTTAGTTTTGTGCATTTCTCAATTCTCTTTATGAATTCATTCAATTCAAGCTAGCTGTCTGCAGTCTGGCAGTCTTTAAAATTTTAATGTACTTGAAATGTTTTTTTATTTTTAGAATTTTTTTTTAATTATTAATTCTTTTACAGCTTAATTAATTGGGTTGTATGAAATTTACAGTGTTTTATGGTACTGAAATGGTAGGTAATTGTTGAATTGTTGGTTCACTTGGTTGTCTATTTCTGTTATTGTTGAAAACTTGAGGTTGAGGAGTGAGGGCTATGTGTAAAATGAATGAAGATCTCCTTTACTTTTTTACCCCACTAAATACAAATCATGGCTCCGCCACTGGGTATAAACTGTTTTGTGTAATATCTTTTAAGATTTGTTCATTTGTGTAATAAATCTTAATATAATGTGTTTTATGCAAAGTATTTTGAATTCAGTGGCTTGTCTTTGCAAGTATTGACATATTGCCATGTTGTATTACATGACCAATTTGAGCCTTTACTACGTTGCTATTTAATTGAAAATTGAAATCTGGAGATTTGATTTGAACTTTAGAAGCTACTTGCCTACTCATTCAATTTAAACATTCGATTAAGTTTTGACTGTGATAACCACTTGCCTTTTGCTTTTTTAATCACTAACTTTCAGTTCATTATATTTAGATTTAGTATATTTAATCACTAAGTTCATTTTTATGTTTCTTTTGTTACATGCAGTGAGTTGACCGTGTTTGTAGAAGTTGAGAAAGATTGAGCCACAGAGAATGATACGTTCCACCATGGAGGCTGGTGTAGTTCTCAGCTCTCATCCCCACCTCTTTACTATGGCACACTTAAAAGCTCAAGGCATGTTTAATGCTTTTCACTGCTTTGGAATGGTTCACAGTTACTTCTACATACAAATTTGTGAAATAGCTTGTACTTCCTGTTGACTAATTGAAAATTGTAAAACATATATACTGTTTGACGTTTAGCATATTGTTTCAGTCTAGCATTCTTCAACATGACTTTATTTTTTCTTTTCTCATTCGTTTTACATTTTGTTTATAATCAGGCAAGCAACCTTTGCATAATCTTGATTTCTGTCGTTCACCATCGACTAAGCCACGTGTGTCCCTTAAAGCAACCTCAGAATGCAGTAGATGGAATTTTTCAACGTCAAAGGTGCCCTTTTTATCTTATAGGAAGAAAGGGTTAACCGTTCTTTCCTGTGACCAATATGTGAATGACCATGTGAATGTCAAGGCGGCTTCTGCTGAGTCTCTAAACTTTGAACTTTCTATGCCAATGCTTAATGAAGAGAAAACTGCCGATACCTCTCATGATTTAAACGAGTATAAATCCTTGCATCAGCAGAGACCCAAGGCATTTAGAAATATATTTTTGAACTTTGTAAGGGTGGGTTCAGTCATTGATGATGCTGCTGAATCTTTTTTCAAGAGTGAGATACGCAGGAGGCTTTTTGTGACTGCTGTCTTGATCTTAATTAGTCGCGTGGGGTACTTTATTCCTCTTCCTGGATTTGACAGGAGATTGATTCCCCATGACTATCTTGGCTTTGCCTCAGGATCTATTGGTAAGTCATTGCTGTTTCTCTCATGCTGATGCTTCACATGGAGTACTGTTATTATCACTTAAAAAATCATTTGATTAGCCAAACTAAGCAATTATAACTTTTTTTTTCCTGAATTACCATATATCAAGTCTCTTACACTGAAAGTTAATATGTTCCATTTCCATCTAGAAATTGACAATTTTAGAGTCCTTTGCAGATGAATTTGGTGATAACTCACAAGAACTTAAGCTTTCACTTTTCAGCCTCGGAATAAGCCCTCAAATTGGAGCATCTATTCTCATGCAGGTTAGGAGTTGGCCCTCACTTTAGAAATAGAGTTCTAAATGGTTACCTGAAAGTTCATTTCTTTTCATTTTTAATGGTTTAATGTTTTTCTTACCCTTCTCTTAGCAAGCTTGTAATTTGTGATATAGTTATTATTTGGGTGTAAATAACTTGTTTGATTCATTGCTAAATAATGTCTTCAGTTGAGTGGTGGAAGATACTCCCTATTCTCATGTATGTACATAAGAACATAAGCTTATTTGATTAGTTCATTGCTGAATAAGCAAAATGGTTGGGTTTTCCTTTTTAAAGCCCTTTTGGATGCGTTCTGTAAATTCCAAATACCCTACTTTATAACAATCTGAGAAGTGCAATTTTTCTTTTGCTTAGATACTTTGTCATATTCTTCCTTCCTTGATCAAACTGCGAAAAGAAGGCATAGGTGCTCAGGAGAAGATCAAGAGCTATATGTGTGTCTAGTTATCCATTTCAGCAGTGAGACCAGTTTTTGTTCACTATCTGTGGATAACTTTATTTTAATTACTCTGAATGGATAACAACTTACTAATTTTGATTATGTTTCAGATGGTGGATTGCACTTGGTTTTTCAATTTTTGAGGCTTTGATTCTTGCCTTCTATTCTCTTCCATATTCCATATATGCAGCGAGTCAGAGGTATTATTATTGGAGAATTTTAAAGCAATTCCATCTTACTGTTTATGTAACATATTATTTATAGGTATCTGACCTTGCAGTATCTGGTTTAATATTGCTATTTTGGTGTTTTATCTCTGTTGAGGTTTCCATCCAAATGTAGTTTTCTTATCATGTTCACTTTGTTATGCAGCACTCCTGTGCCCCATTACAGCTTTGTGCTCATGTGCCAAAATTGTTATATATCTTTATTTGCACATCTCTTTTCTGTTAGCTATTGTTCTTATAATGGAATCTGATTTTTTGAAAGGATAATGGAATCTGATTAATCTCTAAGAAAGTATCTATTTCATCCCCCTTTTGTGACCATGATATATTGCAGGGCAAAGCATGTGATGGTGACAACTTTACTATTGGTGTGTGGTGCACTGACTATGACATGGATTTCTGACAAAATATCAGAGTATGGGTTTGGTAAGTCTAAAAATTTATGAACTCTTCGTAGAGCAGTCTAGTGCTCTAGCAAAAGAAGCATTACTCCATAAAGAGTGCCTACATGCCAAAATTGCATTGAATTGGAAACCATTATATAAATAAATGTAGTTCACGGTTACTTATGATTATTTCTTAAACGTTGTTTATTCCTTGAGCTCTCTGAGTATTAATTGATGGATCAGGTCAAGGATCAACTTTGATTATATGCGTGGGGATTCTTACTGGCTACACAGATACATTGTACAAGATGTTAAATCAACTCTCAGGTGGCTGGCAATTTATTTACTTTATATATGTTTGAACCATTGCCTTGATATAATGATACTCTTCTAGTCTTTGACTTGAACTTGGATTTATAATGGAGAAAACCTTTAGCCTAAGCTACAATTCTTAAGCTATTGAATAGGGTTTTAATGTTTATTTCTGGGGCATTGTAGATCGTTCTGCTAAGTAACATGTTGAATAGTAGGGACTAGGGAGTCAAAGTTAGGGAATTTATTTTAGGAATAAAGGATAGATTGGTGGTGATTTTCAGTTTCTCCTATGATTATGTTTCTTGATTTTCAGCTTCCTGATTTTGAGAAAAGAATTAAGTTTAATTAAAGTAGTTTGTCTATATGCTGCTGTAATCACCATCCAATCTTGTTTTTTGTCTATTAACCTTTTAATGCTAAAGTTCATGAATTTTCTTCCCCCTCCATTGCAGGAAGTGCTGCAAGCTGGTTGCCTTTTATACTTGCAGTAATTGGAGTTTTTACATTGGTTACCATTTGGGCTGTTGTTGTGACTGAAGGTTGCAGGAAAGTTGAGCTGCATTATTATGGCTCCAGACTTGCTTCGGCTGCTAGGTGATCTTATCTTTACTATCCTTATGATTGGCATTTTATCTGCCTTCTCACCCTCTGAAAGGTTATAGCCTATGGGTGAGTTGAAGGTTTCAATATTCTGGGGACAGGAAGCTGGACATTAGGATTTTTTTCTTTAGAATTAAGTAGAAACTAGAAATTAGGTTTTCCATTTTTATTGGAGATAACTATTGATTGCATAAGAGTAGAAGATCTAGATACATGGAATACTGTCAATTTTGTTAATATTATTACAACATTGATATTAACGGAGAATTCTGTGCCTTGTGCAGAGACAATTCTCCAGATACCAAGGTTGAGCATTATATACCATTCAATATAAACCCAGCAGGGATGCAACCCATTCTTGCTACCTCGTATCTCTTTGCCTTCCCTACAATTGTTGCAAGGTTATCTTTTTTGCTACCGACTTTGATGATTGTTAATATAATATCTATTACGCAATAGACAATGTAACGTTTATGGCATAAATTTATTTAAGTTTGTTTTTGGCAGAATCTTTGGTTCACGGTTTTGGGAACATGTCAGCAATGTTCTGAATCCTGAAACTTCTCGTGGAGCAGGGCCATGGGTTTACTACACATTATATGCATTTTTTGTCTTTCTGTTCAATATATTTGACATAGTAAGTTCCTTCTGCATAACACTTTCCATATTTGCATTAATGTCTGTTAAGATTCAATCATTTCAACAATTATACGATGCATGCTTTTTTGGTATATCAAGATTGTATTCCACCTTATATTCTACAATTAGAAAAACAGAATATGACTGTAAACTTGTTTCAGGCCAACATGCCAAAGGAAATTGCTGATTACCTAAATAAGATTAGTGCCAGAATTCCAAATATAAAGCCTGGAAGAGCCACAATTGAATACTTGAAAAAGATCCAGGCATCAACTCGGTTCTGGGGTATCCATATAGATGAACTGTTTTTACTCCCCCCAACCCCCCATATATTCCATTTTGGTTTAAATGTGCTGAATGCTCTGCAGGTGGTGTCTTGCTAAGTATATTGGCTACTACATCTACTATTCTTGATCATTATTTACGCCAACTAAATAATGGATTTTCCGTGGGATTTACATCAGTTCTAATAATTGTAAGTTTGTTTACATCCCTCATTGCTTGCTGTCATCTCATGTTTCTTGAAATGCCTTCCCCTTATTTGGTCATTTCTTAGAACATTAATTATAAGAGATGCTTCAGAATTATATTTCAAATTCCATTCTTCGGATCAATTCATGGAGATTTGTTTTCTTAGAATTAATTTGGCTGCAGCCATTCTTGAACGTCACTAAAACAAATTCAGGATCAATTAACCTTGTTTTGGATTAGGCGAACCATACATCCCTTTGTGCTTTGCTAACTAGACTTCTCTTTGTGCTTTGCTAACTAGACTTCTTATTGATTACTGACGTCTTTTTCCCAATTGTATTTTGATTCCCTCCCCCTTTTTTAGGTGGGATCAATCATCGAACTGAGACGATCTTATCAAGCATACAACGTAATGCCCAGTCTAAGTAAGGCACTGAAGCGATATGGAGTATAAGATCTCGATGGGGGCTTTGTTGTTGTGGTCAACGATCAAATTCAGGGTATTCTTAAATGTGAGTGTACTAGACCTGCTTCACCTACACAAGTACCTTGGATTTGTGCAGCTTCTTAGCCCATCTCCACCCCCAGAAGCAAACGAATTACAATTACTTGCAAAATCATATACGCGAAAGCGAAAGGGGAGGAAGACGAAACATAAAAAAGAAAAGAAAGAAATGTAACTTAAATCTGGGATTAGCAAGGGACTTGCAGTAATGTAACATATTTTATTGTTAGTTTTATTTCTTCAAATTATTTGTAGAATGTTATATTGTACTTGGATGAGTAGAGCAAATGTGTTGTAAGAGTAGGATTCGTTTTAATTGATATTCAACACATGATATCTTTTGAATTGAGAAGAGTATGAAACATCATTTTTTTTTGTTAATTTCGCTTTTTGTTCTTAACAAGTGAATTTTTTGGGATGTGATAGTGGGTGATGTACAAAATAATTTTTACTAACTTTTTATTATTTTTAATTGCTATATACATTAATTATGGTTGTGAAAATCTAAAAATGTATAGGAAAGATCATGCCTAGCTACAAATATCAACACTGCTGCTAGTTGAATTAAAATTATATTGTGAATAGTTGCAAGAGTTTGGAATAATCCTATGAGTCTTGGACATTAGTACATTCAGTAAACTAAATTTGTCAAAATACAGAGAGATATATACATGCAACAGTAGTTTGTAGTGAGTCAACTAATAACATTTCACTTCACTTGAACTTGTCTGGAATTCCCAGCCAATATTAATTGCCCTTGTGATGTTAAAACACCACACCTCAAGCTAAAGAATTGCTGGAGTTCTGCAACCAAAAAAGACCACATGACTCGTATCTTTTGCCAACAAAATTAGAGACTAAAACGTGTTGAATAAACACAGATGCAAAAGTATTTTAGTGCAGCGCAGCAATGAATAGAAGCAAAATTACCCTTGATTCCAAGATCTTTTTGCTGTCATTGTAGTATTGGTTTGGATGATTAATTCCAGCATCGCATGATGCGCCATGAATAGCTTCAAAGGTTAACGTGCATGCCAACTTGAATTGATGCTCACAATATTAGCCCAATACAAAAGAATTTCACGCAATCCACAAAGCATAAGAGAGACCAACTCAGGAAATTATATACTGACCTGGTAATGTCTATTTCGTACTTTGCCTATCACGTCCTCTAATACAAAGTTTCCAACTCCCATCTTGCCAAGGGCAGCTCTTAAATTCTCCTCACTATTCAGCCAAAATTAGCAAAAGACAAGGTAATTTCATCTATGTATTATGTCTCCATATCTTCTACCACTAACAAGTAAAATTTTGAAACGAATAAATACAGGGGAATGCATACAAATAAGAGAATTAGCAACAAAAAAATGTATGGAGATTCTGGTTTCAAAATGTTTTTGCTGTAACAGATAGAGCTCATTTTCAAGAAGCTTCACGGTTAAGACTTAAAAAAAAAAAAAAAAAAAAAAAAAAAAAAAAAAAAAAAAAAAAAAAAAACCTTTCAAAGAAGCTTCTCAAAACTTTAATAGGCTAATTCACCCCTCCCACCTCTTATCTTATAAATATGCCTCCCTGTGGCCCAAGAAGCACAAAAGGAAGAATATTTGCTAAATTTTAAAGAGATTACATCGATGCAAATTCAGAGAAGCTTATAACCTGAAATGACGATAGGGACATCCGTGATGATCTCCAACACCAGGTGTTAATGATATTATCTTTTGGCAAGAGTAAGGTGTGTAATCCTGTAGGAGGTATTAAAAACTTTTTAGTAAAAGATTAAAAAACACAATATATCTGCCACATTTCATTCTTTTAGTTTCCATGTATTTCTTAGGCCTGAAGAATGGAGGAAAGCTCCTGCTAAATCTTTTGGAGAATGACTTACTACTCTCTTTCCTTCTTTCCCATAATTGTGGCGTATGCCATACGCATACTCCTTGTCAAATTTTTCAGCACCAACCTACAAGAAGAAAATGATATACTTAACTTACAAACACCATGGGATGGATTATTGAGTCTCAATATATAGACACCATCATAAAGACACATGCTACTGCAGTAGGTATTTACCCAGCACACAACTGACACAAGTAGGAAGACAATTCATGTTAAGCACAGATACTTCTCTTGTTCTAGTTCAGATATCTGGTTCTGTTGACTTAAGTGAAAATGTAGATGAAAGATGGTGTTGATTGACACATAAGAAAACATGTGATGCACAACTGAATAAACTACAGAGGGATTAGAACTCAGTTTGGGCAACACTACTCCTTTCCATAATGTAAAAGGGAAGGGATAATCTTCAACACAAAATACTTACTTTTCGGGAGAACTCTGCCTTCCAAAATGCAAGGGCATCGTCCAACTTCAACCCAACACCCTAAGAATAAGGTTAAACACAATCAGAAATATAAAGAGCCGGGTGTTTCTGCATAAATTGAAAGAGGAAAATACTTGGTGGACTCCCAACTTTTACTCCCTCACAAGTTCTTGATGTAGACACTTTTATGTGGACCCACATAATGAAAATAACCTATCCTTGTTTGCCACATCAGGGAGTAGAAATAAGGGAGTAGAATTTGGGAGTATGCATAGTAAAACTCATTAGAAAATCCTCCAGAAGAATCTAATGACAACTCATTCAGACAGTAGAAACAAATTTCTCTTAGAAATCTTCTAGAGTTAGTTTGGTCAAACTTATTACTTCATAGAAAGGATTTTTTTTTTTTTCTTTTTTCTTACCAACCCTTAGAAGCCTTTTTTTTATTATTATTTTTTAAATATATTGTGTTTAGCACAGCTTCCACTTTTGGGAGTAGATAATCACCTAAAGAGGTTGTGCCAAACAAGTACCAACTATGGCTAAAATGAGATTCCACTTTTACAAACCACCATGTAAATGAAAGACCAAAACTTATGTTTTTGACATAAAATATTGCATTTAAACAGAAACCCTACAAGATACAACCTTAAGAAACAGGCCCAATTGCATCCTTCCCCCATGCTTCAGATGATGATCCTCTCGTAGCTGTGGAAAGTTGTGGACCAGAGAAACAAAACTAAAGTGAAGGCCACAATTATAAATTACTGGTAACTGATAAAATTTAATCACTATTTGATAAAGCTTTTCACCTTCTCAAAGAGATGACGCATGCACAAAGGAAATGAAGTCTTAGCAACTTGATCAATATCCTTCAATGATATTTCTGTGAACTCTGGTGGCTGCATCATAAGTTTAATTATTTAATAAACTCAAATGTACATCAAACCCCAAGTCAAATAGACAATAGTTGGGTGGATATTTCAAAAATACCTGGCTATAATCTGGGCCTAGATAACTTGTTGATAGGGCTTCAACAATCTAAGGAAACCAAAGAAAAACAGGCAAAATGGATAAGGAAGAAGAATTCGAAAGTCCAATAGAAGAGAATGAAATAACAAATGTTCCACTACTCTCAACTTACAGGAGTCAACCGGTCCTTCTCCTGTTCTCTTATCATTGATGTCCATTTTCTGAAAACAATAGTACAACTTATGAGAAGGCGAATGATGGAACGTTATACAGTTGTATTCTTCTTGTAACATACCAAGAGTAATCACAGAAGCATGCCAAAAGCAACATGTTATTTGTGGATTTCTTAAAGTTGGGTGGTAAGGCCCAAACTGCATTGCTAATTTAATCATAGATAGGCATTTGGAAGAAATGAACTGCACTTTTGAAAGAGTTTGCTATAGTAAAGAACCTGTTGGTGAGAGCAAGTGCTTTTGACAGATTGCTACGAAATTGATTGATAACTAATGAAACCAACTGCAAGGATAAGCCACGTATATGTGATTAAGTAGACAGATTTACATTGGTGGATCTTCTATAAGAAAACACAGAAACACAAATCACCTGATGTGTAGCAATGTAAGCATTTCCTTTCTGGATAAATACCCTTCGACCTGCCACTAGCTCTGGAACCTCTTCGAATGGCACCTAAAATTATCATATATATGTAGTGAGATAAGACTAATACTTTGCCATGGCCAAAAAATAGCAATGATTCTAATACAGGCATTGCAGCATAAAGGAAACTACTATTATTGAGTAAAAGTCTGGGCAAACCAATAAAGACCATCAACCTCATAATAGTTCAATTAGTATCAATAATTATGCTGTAGAATTCCTTAAAGAAGAAGACAGTTTGATATTATTCTTTTTGGAGGCACCATTCCCTGTAGTGGAGAAATAATTTCCATACCTTGTAAAATATTGCTTCAGCTGCATAAATTTTTTTGAAAATGAAAAGAGTTAAGAACTTGTAGCAATTCTACATATTTATCCAAAAAGTGTGTATTAGAAATTCTTCAAATCATGTACCACGTGATAAAGGTTGGCCAATGCAACGTGCAACTTGACTCAATTTGTCCTTTACACTCTGCAACAATGGCAAAGATAAACACACTATAGTAGCTTTTCATGCATAAAATTGAACATTGTTTTAGGAGGAAAACAGAGCCAACTATCATCGCCAAAGCGACACCAAGCAAGTAGAAAATTTTAATACAAAAGCTACCTCATATTCAGCATTGCTCACAGGCTTGTAAGAAAGGTCAAGATCTGCCACTAGTGCCCTCTGTGTTAAGAACGTCAAGTCAACGACACAGCAGGAAAAGAAGCTAGTTACCAGCTAATAACTAAAACATACCTGGACATCAGAGGTTTCTCTCTGATAGCGGTAACGAAATAACATGGTCTCCATTGAAAGAAACCACTTTCTTAATTCCTCCCTAGCATATTAAGTCTCAAATGAGAAACACCCAAAGTAGGCAAATTATAAAAAATTAAAAATCAAATGCGAAGACAGAAAAACACTTACGTCCTGCAATACACAAGTCGTAGAACAAAATGTGAAATTATATCTTTGTTGACAACTTCAGATGGCTGTGGATGCCTCATATTTGCCTTCCATAGATCCGATGCCTGGTATTTATAATTGAACTAAGTACTGCAAAGGAAACGAGAAAATCATATAAATTAATTTTAAATTTGACTGCAAAGTACCAATTCTGCCATTTCGTCAGGCTTCCTTCCTCGGGATAATCCATCAGAAATTCCTTTCAAAACTGCATTGAAATTGTACTTCGAAATAGTTAGTACAACAATTTTCATGAAAATGCATTAACGCAAGTGGGAGTAAAAGTAAACAGCAAGGCAAAAGATTATAAATGAACAGCAAAAAAACCCAGCACAAAACTTGAAGCATATAACAAAAGAAGATACTGTTACACAAAAGGCAGAAATTTTGGAAATTGAATCTGGTGGTTCAAATAGGATTAACAAATTGAAAAGATAAATTAAAAAATTTTAACTTTTGCTTTAGATATGAAGATTATCAGTAGAAGAAAGGAAATTACTTAACCTCTTAGTCGATCAATGGCATACAACTCAAAGTCTTCAAGTCTGACCTCAAGAGGCGGAGCAGAGCGGTAGATAGGGAGAGTTGAAATGATGCCATTGGAGACTGAAGGTTTCCTTTCAGATCGGACTATTTCCATTGGTGTTTGCTCTTCTCCGGTAAAAGCCTAGGTGTTGTCTGCAAAGTCAGGCAGAGTTTTAGCATAGGTGGAGTCAGGATTTTTAATCCAGTGGGGTCAAAAAGTAAAGGAGACAAAGGTGAGCAAACGGTCGGTCAGTTATGTGTAACCAACCAAATAACCTACTATAATTTTTTACCTTTATAACCGACTGAATTAAATGATATAACCAATCAAAAAACCTGACCATCAGTTTCGGTCGGTTACCGAAAAACCGACCTAATTTTTTGACCTTTATAATTAACCGAAACTAACCGAACTAAATGATATAACCTACCCAAAAACTGACCATCAATTTAGGTTGGTTATGTCGGTTACCGAAAAACTGAACAAAAACACACTATTCCAAAATTAATACTCCGTAGTTAAAAATTCCAACCATGCAATACAACAAAATTCCAAATAAAGAATTACACTTTAAAAAGTCTAAACATAACAATCCACAAAGCCACAAGTTCAAATTTAACTAGAATTCTACAAACACAAAAACAATTAAACAAACTTCATCAGTTTAATGTTTAAAGTCTAAACACAATACAAAGTCAAAAGTGCATTCAAGGAAATTAATAGTAATTCTCAGAAGTCCAAAACCACTCCAAGTCTCCAAATATCAAATGAGTGAATGACATGCACAGATAACAGATTAATAATGCACTTAAAAATCAAAATGCATTCTGAAATTGCTAATCAAAATCCATAAATGCATCAAACTTATCAAATGAGATATTATTTAACCATTAGTATTATTGTTATTATACAAGGATTACAAAATAATTATATAAGAATATAAATTGTACGATCAATTGATATAGTAATTATATAGTCGGTTTCGGTCGGTTATTTCGGTAACCGAATAACCGAGCAGCCCCAAGAAATATTGTAATAATGTAATATTACAGTCTACAGATCTACAGTACTTTTTATGTCTTCAAATTCACACTAAAATGTAAATAAACTTACAATACTACATACAGTCCATACTGCAAATGCATAATAACAGTGTCATTGTTGAGTTATACTGGAAAGTGGAAACTGTAGTGTGTACTACAGAGTTCCAATACGACTTGGAATATAAAACTAACCGTGTCAATTTGCAAAAATAAATTACAAGGGTGGGCAACCTTAAGATTTTGAACCAACACAAAAAGTAAGAATATAGGAATGAAAAGAAACACCAAAATGAGCAATTTAGAATAAATTTTATCTTGAACTGTTTGTTTTCATCTGTAACTCCCCAAAAGCAAAATCCACTCTCAGTTGAAGTAATTTATTTTGGAGCCTGGACTCTGGACAAACACACAGCAAGCAAGCAGTCAAGTTTGCAATTTTTTTTATAAAATTAAAATTCGTGTGATTTTTTTTAATTATAAATCGAAGTGAACAAATACTAAAATAGAAAATTAGAAATTATCAAATCAAAATAGTATGATATATGCAACTTACCTTTGAAAGAATGAAAGGCGAAGAGGAGTAGCGACCAACGAAGAAGAGCAGCGATTTAAGGGCGTGAGTCACAGAGTCAGACGAAGAGGAGCAGTGAGAGGCGACTTTGGGCTCCGGGCGAGGAGAGAGTGAGGTTAGGGATTTAGGGTTTCTTGAATCTTGAGGTCTGAGTGAGTGCGATTGTGCGAGGGCGGCGATGAGGCTACTGTGGCGAGGAGCGAGGAGACTGGTCACAGGTGGTAGACGGCGTTAGACTTCAGGGCTTCAGGCTACGGTGGTCGGCGGCGAGGAGAGTGAAACGTGGCTGCCGGCTGCGTATGGAGTATTGACTAGAGCAGTATGACTTGTGAATGATTTTTAAAAACTTAGAATCATCAATAATGTATTCATGTGGATCCGTGGTGGACTTACCGCAATAATCAAACTCAAATCTCAGAATTTGCAAATCGCGGCAGCCTGCTATTGTCGGCGGTCGAGTGGTCGACGGCAAACTGCCGAAGCTGCGAAATGCAAAATTTTCTCCCCAAACTGCGATGCGAAGTTGCGAACGCCGTAAAATTAGAAATTACAAATTTAATTAAATGTAATAAATAATATAAAAATAAATGGCGGGAAAGAGGAAATGGTAGGGAGGAAAATTGGCGGGAAATGCTCAGTTGGACTGCGATATAAATTACTGGCTGCAAATGCTTCTTAAATGTTCCCTAGAAATAGGGGGAAAAAAAAAAATAATAATAATAATAGCATTGAAAACTCTAAAAAGACTAATGTAGTTTTAGACTTTCAGAATTATATTGGCAAATATTAACTAGATTGTTTTAAACTTTTAGGACTATATTAACAAATATTAACAATGTAATAGAGTCAGTAATTAAAAAAACAAAAAAAAGATAATCTCAACAAGGTTAAAATTTTATATCAAGAATTAATTCCACTTCATTTGGAAAACAAACTATGTGAAACTTCCACGTCTAAAGTACCACCACAACAAAAGATAATATTTAGCATAACTACTTCCAAGTCTAGGTTTGATAATTCAATTCAATTGATTATGGATCACATTATTGATACGAACAATCTGATGTCTGTCATTCAAGTGTATGATGTTATTTCAGGATTTTATATAGTTTAGATGCGATTCTGAATTTGTTTTTTAGATTGTATCCTAAATTATACTGTGTATTTACTATATTGCAAGTGATTTGAATGTTTTTATTGAAGTTGAATCAAATTCTCCAATTGATGTTGATAATAGCTATGCAATTCCAGATTGGTGTTTCGTGTATTTTTTCTGATTTAGGTTTTGATAGTTATATTACAAAATATTATAGTACATTTATTGTTTGTAGTGCTTGTAGGGATGGCACCGGGGCGGGATGGGGCGGGGTGGGGGGTATACTCACCATCCCCGTCCCCAAAACCCCACCCCGTCCCCATCCCCATTCCCGACGAGGAATTGAAAATAGTACTCATTCCCGTTTCCGCGGGGACGGAGATTCCCGGTCCCGGTCAACTCTTAGTCAAAATCTTAAATTAGTATAATTTTTAACTTTAAAAACTAAAACCTAAGTCTTAATTCCCCACATCATCTCAAACATAATGTAATTGGATACACTTACCTCCTAAAATTGTTCGATTAGCTTTTTTTTTGCAGGTTACCTCCAGGTTGTCAATCCACATTAGTGACCTGTAATTTTATTAAAATAAAAGTGTGTGTTGAGGTGGAATTTAGTTGCTAAATCTGTGTTAGAGTCATCGTTGGTAGGCGTCATGGAGCTCGTCGGAGCCTAGGGCTGTGCAAATCCAAAAAAAAAAATTGACAAAACCGATCGAATCGGAACCCGACCAAGCGAAACCGAACCGAGCCGAACCCGAGTTCATAAAACTGAACCGTCGAATAGAACGACGTTGGTTTATTGCATTCGGGTGGGGGACATTTTCTCGACCCGATCAGTCCGAATATTCGATTAAAAGTAGGGTTACGTGTATATAGTACAGTACGACGTCGTTTAGTCTTTGTGTGTGTGTGTGTGTGTGTGTGTGTGTGTGTGTATATATATATATATATATATATATATATATATATATATATATATATATATATAGGGGTGATCACATGTGGTCATGTTGTTAGGTGTGGTCATATGGTCAATTACAGGTCATTAGATTAGATAGATCCAATGAATTACATTAATCAAGATTCTTCCAGTATTTTTGCGCATATTCTCCTACCCAGCGAACTGCAAGGGTAAACTCGTCATAAGACACCGGAATAGGAAAAATCACATTGTTGTGTGTTTTATTTGTGTAATTGGTGCATTATTAGCCTTACTATGGTGTATTTGTAGATTTCCATTGGTGCCAAGTTCAGGTGCGGCAACGCCTTCCCGTGTGGTCAGTGCGGCCGCACCAAATTGTTATACAAATATACACAATTCATGTTATGAAATGCACAACAAAAAACATACACAAATTAGCTAGGTACGCATCACAAAAAATGCGCGGATTAGATATGAATAAATACACCATACAGTGTTCGTGAATACACTATTAGAGTGTTTCACAGTGGTGTGTTTTATTACACTATTGGTGCATGTTGTCAACACTGTTGGTGTATTCTGGAACCTGGCCGCTATAAATGGCCACTGTAATTACCATAACACCCCCACGCGCAAAAATCCTCAGAATTAGCCACTACCGTTAGATTAAACTGATTCAACGACACAGATACGACCACACCGCCACACTTAATGACATGACCACATATAAGCGCTCTTCTATATATATATATATATATATATATATATATATATATATATATATATATATATATATATATATATATATATATATATATATATATATATATATATATATATATATATATGTTGATACGCAGAAGTCTTCACTTCTATTCTCATTCGTGCAGTTAGTCTAATTAGCTAGATTTTCCTCAGTCCTTAGTTCTCTCTTCTCTTCTCTCTATTTGTGCAGTCGCACCTTGCGATTTTAGTCTCCTTAGTTCCTAGTTCTCTCTTCTATCTTCTCTACTAGACAGAGACTACTTCTTTCTAGTCTCTACTCTCTTCGTCAAGTTGGTTCTGTTTGAGACGACGAGACGTTGAGTGGTGGTGAGGTGGTCTGGTTATCTAGTGGAAGCCCTGACTGGTGTAGTGGTGATGTGGTGGTGTCTTCGACTTCCAGTGGTGATATCTGTATACAGAAGCCCTCGTTCTCCGGAGTATATGTGAGAAATGAAGTAACTCGCAAACCCTAATTTTAGAAAATTTCAGTTCTTAAATTTTTTGTGATATATTTAGTGTCTTTATGAACTTCTGGTGGAAGCACTGACTTTTTATTGCAAACCCTAATTTTGTAAAATTGATTTGTTAAATTGGCATATTACTCATATATTGCGAATTTGTGATCTATTTTGTGTCTCTGTGAACTTCTAGTGGAAGCACTGACTTTTTATTGCAAACCCTAGTTTTGTAAAATTGATTTGTTAAATTTATTGGCATATTACTCGTATATTGCGAATTTGTGATCTATTTTGTGTCTCTGTGAACGTCTGGTGGAAGCACTGACTTTTTATTGCAAACCGTAGTTTTATAAAATTGATTTCATAATGTGTGATATGTTTTGTGATATTCTGGTGGAAGCACTGACTGTTACTTGATATGTTATAATGTTATGTCCCTTAAAGGCTTATATTGGTGGAAGCCCATAGAAATATATATATATATATATATATATATATATATATATATATATATATATATATATATATATATATATATATCCCTGAATCTAGATTTCTTTGTATTGTCTGTTTATGCCTTAATTGTATTTGTATATTTGTATTGAATGATTTCCCTAATTATTTAATTATGCATTCCTGTAAAATGATGACACAAAATGTGTGTGATTCTGGAATGTTTTAATGCCTCACCTGCCTGAGTGCTTGGCTGGCTGACTGTATATTATTCTTGAATATTAATCCTACTATGTGTACTGATAGTTAACCATTTTTTAGATGGAAAATATCAGTATGCCTAGTAGTCAACCTCTCAACTCTTCAACTGAGGGATCTTCAGGGATGGAAACCCAAACTGTTGAGCAAAATAATCAACAGAATGTTCAACCTCCTGCAGTTCCTGATAAGAAGAGAAAACAGGTTGATGCCAGATCTAGAGTATGGGATCATTTTGGGAGAATAATGAAAGTAATGGTGTTACTCTGAAAATAAAGTGTATTTATTGTGCAAAAGTATATCAGTGTGAGTCTAAAAAATATGGTACATCTTCCTTAAGAAACCACATGTTGAGTTGTCTGAAAAACCCTCACTCCAATGATACTAGGCAGTCCCTTTTAACATTTCAAACTGTTACATTGTTACATCTTCTTATTCATCTCAACCTTTTGTGGGGGGGGGGGGGGGGGGCGGGGGGGAATAGGTATTTGGGTATTTAATCAAGAGTCAATTAGGAGGGCCTTGTTGAAATGATAATAATAGATGAACTGCCATTTAGATTTGTGGAGGGAATATGTTTCAGGAGGTTCATTGCTACTGCTTGCCTTAGGTTTATAGTTCCATCTAGATGGACTATAAATAGGGACATCCTATTGGTCTTTGAAGAGGAAAGACTGAAATTGAAGGCATTCTTAAGGAGAAGCAGTCATAAGGTTAGTACCACCAACTCATGAACATCCATCCAAAGGATTAACTACATGGTAGTTACTGCCCATTTCATTGATTATGAGTGGAAGCTCCATAAAAAAAAATCTTAGCATTTGTCCGTGTTACCTCTCATAAAGGTGAATATATAGCCAAAGCCCTAGAAACTTGTTTGCTTGAGTGGGAGCTTAGGAATGTTTTTAGTGTGACTGTTGATAACGCCTCATCCAATGACACTGTAATGGGGTTTCTAAAGGAAAATTTTATGTATTTGGAAAACATCTACTGTGAGTACAAAGTATATTCACATGAGATGCATTGCACATATCTTGAACTAGGTAGTGCAAGATGGTCTGAAAGACTGTGATAGTTCTGTCAAGAAGGTTAGGGAGGTGGTCAGCTATGTTAGAAACTCTCCTGCTAGGATTAAGAAGTTCAAGAATTTGGCTGATTTGTTGAATTATTGAACAAAGGTCTTCTTTGTGTTAAGATGTTCCAACCAAATGGAACTCTACCTATTTGATGTTGCAATCTGCATTGAGTTACCATAAAGTGTTTGAATCTTTGGAATCTGATTGTTCATTCAAGTCTGACTTGGGTAATTCTATTCCTGATTTTATGGACTGAGAATCCGTTGGTGGTTTGGTCAAGCTATTAAAATGTTTTTATGAAATGACAATCAGAATTTCTGGTTCTTTGTATGTCACTTCTAACACATTCTTCATAGAGATTTCTGATTTGTACTGCATATTGAAGGGCATGGTGGAAACTGATGGGGCAGTGAGTGTTATGGGGACAAATATGAAGGTAAAATTTGAGAAGTATTGGGGTGATGTAGACAAAATGAATCTAATGATTTTATTTGCAAACATTTAGACCCCAGGGACAAATTG